GAGCAGCTCGGAAGAGAGGGGCGGGGTCAGCAGAGCTCATTAACATTTAAAGGAAAATGCTACAAAACAGTTTGCTCTGAAAAGAGCTGTTTTTGACAGGTGTTTTTTACACTACCATTGAAAAATTTTAACCAAACTATGTTACAGACTTTTCATTAAGACCCTAAAGAATCATATCAACTCGTGGAAAATGGGCATCCGATGACCCATTTAAAAATGCATGAATTTTATTACATTAGATCACTAAGTCAAGCAAATCAAGTGGCATCTGCAAACAAATGATTCTTGACACTTTCCTGAACGAATTTAAATTTTCCAAGCCCTTTTTTGCAATGACTTTTAATCTGCTTGTCTTTTTTTTTTACACATTGGTCAGGTCAGGATTGCATGATGCAGGATACACAGGAAGAGCAATAGGTGTGTCTGACTTCATGCACCGCTGCACAGACCGATCAGCATTCCGTCATGTTTATAAAAATAAAACTTATAAAAAATATAGACCCCACTTTATTTAAATAGTATAGGCTTATGTTGACCAAGAACAATAACTATAAAGATATGCTTTAATGATCAGCATGAACAACAATGCACAATAATTATCTGTTTATTATAAGTACACACTGCAGTTTTGTTTTCTGATGCTTTAAATGCTGGAGATCTTTAAAGCAGGATGGATTCTGATTGGCTGTCATTGTTTTTGTCATTCATCAGTTGGAAAAAATCTCTTTAAAAGTGATTCCAATAATATCATTCCTCTGTGCTGTTATCGTTATAGTTGTGATGGGAACTATTCTTTTACATTCACAATGATTTTTAAAACTATATCTTTATCATTATATTTATTGTCCTTGGTGTGAACGTGCCTTAACTGTTGCTACATGAAAACGTCTAAAACATCTGTGTATTTGACAAATATTGCAGCTAATCCACTTCATCTGTGGAAAATAATACGCAAACGCAGGAGAAGCAGAAAGTGTCTGACTTCATGTCTCCTTTTTCAACTCCTCCTCTGACTGTAAGTGGCAAATCTCACAGAACGGTTAAATCCAACCGAAGACGAACAGACCTATTGAGTACCAGAAATAGAAATATGAATGTGCATATCACATGTTATTATCATAATATAATATTACTGAGAATTCAATGGCTATTAAACTCTCATTATCATCCAGGCATTACTTGAAAGGAATGGACTGTTTTGACCAGTAATTTGTGATAACAATAAATTATATATTTAATAGTTTTCAAAATATTTCAGAATTCATACACTGAAAAAAAAAATGGTGGTGATACAATTTTCACTCAAAAATGGCAAGTATGTTTTGCTAAGAAACAGCAAGTAACACATTTGAATTAAACATGACATTTTATAGAAAGACTGAAATAATAGTCTTTTTTTAATTTACAACTTCGAATATAAATATTTACATTTTAAACTTAAATATAAATGTAATACATAATTTTAAAACAAATTAAAAATAAGTAAAAAAAGATTTAAATAAGCATATTTTTGTATGTACAAATGTCCCCAGTAAGACAAAAAAATATATATATAAAAAAACAATTTTAATATTTAATTGTGGCACAATGCAGGACTGAGTTTTTGAGGTAGGTAAGCGCCCCCTTGAGGAATTGGCATCCAATTGAACTGTTTAAATGAATCAGTTCTATATCATTAAAACAAATTTTTTTAGACCCATCCTAAAAAATGGCATGCAATGACATGGACCCTCTTTCCTCAGGTTCAAAATCGTCCAGCATGGCTGCAGGGTTGACGTCATCAGGTGGAACAGCTCGCTGGTGTTGTTCTCTGTTGTTCTAACTGCATGTTTCTCTGCTCTCGTCTCTCTCTCTCTCTCTCACTCTCTCTCTCTTCCTCCTCATGTCTCTCTCTCCTATACCCCTTCCCTCTCGTTCCTTCCTTCTCCCTCTGCGGGTTTGTTTCCCTCCATCAGGTGTCCAAATGACTATACCGGTGAACGCTGTCAAACCTCCGTTATGGCCGGTTTCTACAGTATGTCCATTTCTTCTTCCTGTCTGTCTGCTCTGAAGCTGCATGTTGGCTATGATGTGTATGCGCATGTACGTGTCTGCCTCTGTTTGTCCATTCAAAGGTTTTATATTGGTTTATTAAGTTGAAATTCATCGATGTGAATGGATTTAGTGTACATTGATATATATTATTAAAAAGAGATTTTCCCAAAGGATAAAGAAAAGTGGAGAAGAGTTTAATATAGTGCAAATTATATAATAAAGCATGCTAACATATAGATTATGTTCCCATAGAGCAGAGTTAGATTCAACAATAAACTGAATAATTAGTCCATCAGACAGATTCATGACATGTTTTACAGGCACTCGTTTATCATTTAAAGGATTGTTCTGGGTTAAGTACAAGTTAAGCTCATTGATGGCATTTGTGTCCACAAAAAATATATATAAACTCAAAAAATGCATGGACAGTACTGCACTTATGATGTGAAAAAGCAAGACAAGACAATATACACTACGGTTCAAAAGTTTGTGGTCGGTAAAATGTTTTAATGTATTTGAAAGTCACATGATCTTTCAGAAATCATTCTAATATGCTGATTTGCTGATCAAGAAATATCATGATACATTTTCTTCAGGAGTTTTTGATTAAAAGAACATTTATTTGACACAGATTTTTTTTTGTAACATTATAAATGCCTTTTCTGTCACTTTTGATAAATTTATTGTGACCTTGCTGACTAAAGTATTATTTATTTATTTTAAATCATACTGATGGGTCTGTGAATGTAAAACTATTAAACCTGGTAGATTTCACATAATACACAAGATGGAAAGGGACTGTTTATATAGAGATTTTTTTTATTGGATTTTTTTTTCTTTTGGTACGATATATTTTTATTGGTTTGTCTGCTGAACAATGAACGCCAAGATACACAGCAGGAAAAATATATCTTATATTTGTGTCCTATATACCATACATTTTGTATGGAAGATGTGGAAGATTGTGGAAGATTGTTTTGCTTACAAAAATGTGTGTTATATATATATATATATATATATATACTGTATATAATCTGTTCAGTGGTTATGCAGACAAAAGCAATATGGTCACACATATTTCTGCTTTCAAATCCTCCGTAATAGCATCATAAGTGCGTTACTGCAAGCGTAATTTCTGCTCATTTTAACTGTGATGAGAACATTTTCACAGATGCTGTTGGTAAATCTTAACTTGTACTGATCCAGGAATGTCTGCCATTTCTGTCAAGCTCTGGTTGTTAAGTAAAATTGATGCTGTTGTTTTGTATGATCTTTAACAGCGTTCTGAGCCTGAGGCATGATGCATGACCCTTAACCTCTAACCTTTAACCTCTAGAACCGCTGCTTTCCAAACAGTGGTAGTTAACTAGAGGAGCCCTCAGTATTGCCAGTATCATGCATGCCATAGCTCAAGATGTGTTTATACATCTGCATATTTGTAGTGGAAGTTGAAAAACATACATGAAAATGTAATATTGTGACTAAACAAAAGCCATCTGATCGTCGTTTTGCATATACATCACTAGATGTCTGTCTACATTCATCTGTACTTGAGTCTTTTTGTGTTGTACATTGTGCTTTTCTGTTTAATGGTTTTGTTTTTCTTTTTTCCTTAACCATAAACCAGAAATGAGGTCTAGTAAATATGGCCGTAAGTGTGGCTGTCTATGTCTGCATGCATTTTTGTACGCTTGCTTACATGCGATGAACAAGAAAGGCGTGTTGTTTGTTTGTTTGTTGGTTTCGTTTCTGTCTTATGGGGAATATGGAGTTGGCCAGTGTGTGTCTGCATTGTCTGTCTGTTACTGGAACGTACAGTCACTCACCTCAATGTCTCAAACAAAATCAACCAAACAACACCACTGATCGCATTCTAGTGAACCGCCTTTATCTGAACAAGTGGACATTTTTACCTGAAACCTGTTTTCTTTTTTTTTTTCTTTTTTTTTTTCTTTGTCAACTTTCTGCATTGGCAGAGCATCTTGGAATTGAAATCATGGGTATGAAGTTATTATTTGTTTGATTCTTTAGTTTTTAAGGTTCATGACATAATTTGATGACATAGTTTAAGCATATTCACATAAGGACTCGTCTTGTTCTATTTTCTCTGTCCTATATTTGAACAAACAAATACATTCCTAGCTTCTGATTTACTTTTTCAGCTCTGACAAAGCGACACTCATTTTTAGGAATGTAGGAATGAAACACATCAGGCAGGTAGATCAATATTTATAGTATAAAATGTATATTTCCCATTCTGTAAACGTATATCATTTGAATTCTATAATCATATGCCAAGTTGTGATATTATTATAAATGAGCAAATTCATGTAGCAATACAAAATGTGCTTTTTATCAAAACACATAAAAGCGATAAGCCAGTGTAAGACAGTGATTTTACTACAGCCTCCCGTGGCTTGTTGCTGTAATAAATTTTCAAATTTAAACACATTATATGAACTTGTTAGAGAAATAAGATGTCTAGAATAGTTTGTAATTTTTCACACTGCAAAAAAAAAAAAAATATGTTGTTTTCCAGTAAAATATCCAAACATACATCAAAATGAATTTCAAAGAAAATACTTGAGAAGAAAAATTATGCATAGGATAATAAGGCCGCTTCTCTTTTTAGAGAATATATCTTGAATGAATTAACAATGATTTGTCTCATTGGACGATTACTATTTTTAAGGGAAATAATAATTGGATGAAATAATTTATATATAGGCTGCATTTATTTGATCAAAAAGTTAAAACACTGATATTGTGAAATATTATAATTTAAAGTAACTTTTTTATTTGAGTATATTTTAAAATGTAATTTATTCCTGTTATGCAAAGCTGTGTTACTCCAGTCTTCAGTGTCACATGATCCTTCAGAAATGATTCTAATATGATGATTTGCTGCTCTATTATTATCAATTGTTAATAACTGTTCATATAACTATCAATGATATAATATCCAAAAAAAAAATCAGGATTCTTTGAGGAATAGAAAGTTAAAAAGAACAGAATTCATTTGAAGTAGAAATATTGATGTAATAATAATAAAAGCATTAGAGAGAATTAGGGAGCATATCAGAGAATTCTTTCCAAAACATTAAAAAAATATTTTTATATAATAAGATATAAAATAATTTTATTTCTTAAGTACATTTATCTTGTTTTAAGGATATATATATATTTTTTTTTTTTGTAAGCTATTTTTTTTTCCTGGAAAACAACACAAATATACTGATTAAGAACCTAATTTTTTTGCAGTGCACTAAAAAAAACTTTTATTTGCATACAACGTGTGTCAGGGAGCCGAGTGAGGGGTAAAATGAGTGTTGCCCATCTCTTCTCCTGTCTTCTTGTCTGCACCACTAGAGTACATTAACCGTTGGTCTGGGTACATCTCTCTGTTTTCTCTCTCTCTTTGTGTACTCTGATCTCTGTTTCCTGTAACAAGCATGCAATGCAATATCAGTGTCTGACTCAACCGCCCCCCTCCCTCCCCCCTGTGTTTCTCTTTTATTACACACTCATCCCCCCTACTGTTTGGCCCTCAATTCTCTTCTCTCCTTCCTCCCGTCCGTTTTTTCGTTCCCTCCCTTCATGTTCTGTATGCTTCCTCTGTTGCTGCCCACGTTCAGCACCCCAGAGGATGTTTAGAATATTCTCGTTTTCAAAAATCAGACCCAGATATAAAAATATGTGTTCAAGGCATCTGTATAGATGGTCTTCATAAAACCTGCTCATCAAAGCCTTGGTTTGCTGTTTGCCAAACCCTCCAATCAGTTTTAAAGTCAACGTGAAATGGCGTTAAACCTTTTTAATTTGTACTCAGATATTTCAGAGTGAAACAAGAAATTAAATGTGAACTTGAAATGATTTTTAATGAAATAATTTAAAATAAATATGTTTTTTTAAATACATTGTGTGTGTTTGTGTGTGTGTGTCTGTGTGTAATTAAAAACATTTAAAGTATGTTCATTCAAAATATATATAAAAATAAATTAAATGTGAACTTGAAAAGTTTTATTGAAATAATTATATATATATATATATATATATATAAACATTTGTTACTTCACAATAATGCACACTGATGAATCATTCGCAATAAGACCAGGAATGTGCATTAAGAAAGCAAATGGGTTAATTTTGATTTCATGTTGGTTTTAAAACACATTTAGTTGTAATAACGAATATCTCAAAACTGCTTGTGAAGTTTAGTCGGGTTTTATGAACAACCCTCTCCAAAGAGCTCTTATAATGCAGTTTGTCTTTTAACTCTATTTTACAGGCATGCTTTACGCAAGACTTACAAGCTCAGACTGCTCTGTCTTCAGACGTCATAGGATTTTATATATAGAATAATGCATGTAATGGGCTTTCAGAGGGGCGGAGATTTCATTTTATAAACACTTCTAGCCAAAAAATGTGAGTTTCCAGTGTTGCACAGGACGGTTTCAGTCCTGAAGGTAGCCAAAAGTTCTCCCACTGTTTCAGGATAATGCGCTTTATGTGAAACCCTGGCAGACAGAGAAAGCACCACAGCTGTGCCCTTCCCATGCTGCCGAGCACCTGATATCAGTCATCTGAAATGTGTTTTTAGAATGACCTCTTATGCACCTCAGTGCCCATTAAAAATAAAGTTTTTAGATTTAAAGCGAGAATTCACCCAAAAAATGACAATCCTGTCATCATTTACTCACCCTCATGTCATTCTAAACATGTTTGATTTTTTCTTTCTTTCTGTGGAACACAAAATGAGATGTTTGGCAGAATGTCCTATGGAAATGAATATATGACATATATTGCCCTATATCAAGATACAGTATATGATATTATGATATTGCCATATACTGTATATTACCTATAAGGTGATGCATAATTTTCACATACATACACTCTTTGGGTAGATGGAGATATAAATTTATAACATATAATATCCCCTTGGTGAAATTTGTATACATATGTTAATATGTTATACTATATGATGGTGTTATATGTAGCAACCATATATGTCAATAGTACATTTTATTTATTAATGCAACTTTATTAAAACAACATATATGCAAAAAAAATATATCTTTGTTTTTATTTTATTAAATGCATGTCTATCTTTTATATTTATCATATTACAATATATTTCATATATGTAAGTTTAATATATGTACATATGTTACATTTGTATACTGGGGTCCAAGCTGCTTTCTTCCATACAGTGGAAGTGAATGGGGACTGGGGCTGTCAAGTTCTAAAAAGGGCAAAAAAGCACCAGGAAAGCATCATAAAAGTCGTTTATGTCTTGAGCACTATTTTCCAAGTCACCTGAAGTCAAACGATAACTTCAGATATTATTATTCACTGGAAATCTTGCTTGACAGTCCCAGGCTCCATTCATTTTCATTATATGGAACTTATAGCTTGGACTTTGAGCTTTAAACATCTCCTTTTTCATTCCACAGAAGAAATAAAATCATTCAGGTTTGCAGCAACATGTGGGTTAGTAAATAATGACAGAATATTCATTTTTGGGTGTACTGTCCCTATGACTAAATAAATCTGTTTAGAAGTGATAAATATGACTGTTACTATACCATATAAATATGACTGTAACTATAACATGAAATGTAGACTGACGTTGGAAAGTGTTTTAGGCTGAATGAGATAGTTTGACATGGTTTATAGGCTGCCACTGATGCAGTGGTTGTGTGTTTTGTATGTATGTGTGTCTTTGTGTTCAATGTCGTGTACATGTGTGTTTGTCTCTGTGTGTACGTCTGTGTATATGTGTGTGCTTGTCCATGGCTCTCGTTCATTCAGAGGCTGAGGAGCTGTACCAAAAACGTGTGCTGACGATAACGGGCATCTGCGTGGCACTGCTGGTGGTTGGCATCGTGTGTGTAGTGGCATACTGCAAAACCAAGTAAGCCCCGGGAAATCTAGTGATCACCAGCAAGAACTGTGCACATTCACACATTAAATTAAAAAGCATTTAAAAAAAAACACTTGCACCCTTTGGGTGGTATAAGCAAAGTTTGCTTTGTGAGGATTTTTTTATCACTATATCATTTTATAACACTTCTGATCATAAAGTTTGAGGTCAGCATAATTTCTTTAATCAAATTAATAATTTTATTCAGAAACGATGCATTACATTGATCAAATGTGACATTAAATACATTTATTTCAAATACAGTGGGTATAGAAAAGAATCACCCCCCTTTAAAATAATCACATTTTGTTGCTTTGCAGCCTGAACTGAAGAAGGACACAGTTCTTGTTTTATCCAATGCAACTTTTGTTTTACTCAGTGCAAATTATAACATTTAAGTGAAAGATATAACACCAACATGTCAGACCAAAAAAAATACAGAATCACTGAGGTGGAAAAAGCATAACCCCCACCTAAAAATGAATAAACTCAATCAGGTGTAGCTAATCACCTTCTCAATGGCACACAAAGCCATTTGACTTCCAACTGTGATGATCAGCTGTGGTCATTTTGATTAGCTCAGCATGAAAAGAGCTTTCCTGGAGCATTTCAGTCCTTGGTACTGCAACTGAAGCAAACAATCAACTATGGGTGGCAAGCACTGTCAAAAGATCTCCAGGATAAAGTTGTGGACAGGCACAAGTCAGGAGATGGATACAAAAAAATGTCAAAAGCTTTATCAATGTCTAGAAGCACAGTGAAGTATTATTAAGAAGTGGAAGGTATTTGGTACAACACAGACCCTCCCAGATTCAGGACGTCGCTCCAAACTGGATGAAAGAGCAGGAGGAAACTGGTCAGAGAGGCGACCAAGAGGCCTACAGCAACTCTGAAGCAGTTGCAGGAATTTAGGATGAAGAATGGTCATTGTGTGCATGTGACAGCAATATCACAAATTCTCCACAAATGTGGCTTGTATGGGAGCGTTGAAGAAAAAAGCGGCTCCTCAAGAAAGGCCACATGCAGTCAGACTGAGCTTTACCAAAACACACCTTGAAGATTCTGAGGCAGATGAGACTAAAATTGAATTATTTGGCCTCGATACCAAACGATATTTCTGGCAGAAATCCAATACAGCTCAGCATCCAAATAACAGGATTCCTACAGTAAAGCATGGAGGAGGTCATGTCCTGTTATGGGGCTGTTTCTCTGCAGCAGGAACTGGAGCACTTCAGGATAGAAGGAAAAATGGACAGGGCAAAATACCGTCAAATTCTTGAGGAAAATCTGCTGCCCTCTGCCAGAAAGTTGTCAATGGGAAGAAGGTTTACCTTCCAACATGACAAGCACACTGCAAAATTGAGCACACAGTGGTTGAAAGAGAAAAAGGTGAAAGTCCTTGCATGGCCTAGTCAGAGCCCAGACTTAAACCCCATTGAAAATCTGTGGAATGACTTGAAGACTGCAGTCCACAAACGCTCACCATCAAATTTAACTGAACTTGAGCAGTTCTGCAAAGAAGAGTGGGCAAATATTGTAAAGTCTAGATGTGCAAAGTTAGTAGAGACAGAGACATATCCCAACAGACTAAAGGCTGTAACTAAAGCAAAAGGTGGTTCAACAAAATACTGACACAAGGGGTGATCCTTTTTCCAACTCCGTGATTGTTTATTTAGTTATTTTCTGACATGTTGGTGTTATATCTTTCACTTGGATGTTATAAGTTGCACTGATTAAATAAAGCTGGATAAAACAAAAACTGTCCGCCTTAATTTCAGGCTGCAAAGCAACAAAATTTAATTATTTTAAAGGGAGGTGATTATTTTCTATACCCACTGTAAAAGCTGTTCTTTTGAACTTTTCCATTTATCAAAGAATCTATACCATATCTATACCAAAATCTATACCAAATCAAAGTAACTTTTGTATGTTTCACTATAGTGATTTCCTGTTTTAAATATTAGAGTATTTGCTGTCATGGTATAAATCAGATCAGATTTCAGAATGGATCTTTCTTCAGGAAACGAAGGAAGAAGATGCATAACCACCTGCACCAGAACATGTGTGCAGAGCATCCGAACAGCATGCTGGCCAACGGACCCAACCATCCCGGCCTCGTCCCTGAGGAAATCCCCATGGTGGATGTGAGTTTGCCTGCCTCTCATTTCCTGTAGGCTGATATATCTTTTGCATATTCTGAATATTTAGTAATTGAAGATGTGATAAAGCATACAAGGTAACTAATTGTTCATAGGCAGATTGCCTTAATAAGCATTTAATGTTGCTTTGCTGTAGTAGACCAATACCGCGGCTCCCTATACGCAGAGTACGCAGTTTGCGTAAGGCACCAACTCCCAGGGGGGGTACCATCCCAGTTGCTCAAAAAAAAAAATATTATAATTTATTTCGTTCTATATTAATATTAACATACATATATATATACATAAATAAAAATCTAAACATTAACATATATATATATTATATATTATTATAAAAAATGCATTTTATGATGAATGCAGTAGGCAGTATAAGCACACGTGACGTGCCATTCCCGCATGTGCGCCCGCGCCTGCGCTCGCTCTCACCTCATTTTGCGGCAGGGAAAAGACAGCAGCGCAGTCCGGCGCAGAGAAAAGAAAAATAAAAAAGCCCAAGTTGAAGCCCGTGCATCACTTTCAGGTAGCTACGTTCATAATCCTGTGAAACTTTTTTGACTGTTGACGTTAGTAAAGTGTTTTAATGTCGGTGATAATTTCACCACCACCAACAACGCATCTGACTTAATGTTCTAGTTTTCATGACTTTAAATGTATTATATAAAAACAATGAGGCAATAACGATTAATTCATTAATAATAATCATATGGTTTCTTTGAATAAAACTGTTAAAATACATAATGTAATACAAAATAAACAATTTACATTATTACAAATGCCTGCAAAGGGCACCAAAGTCCTGATAATTGCTGTTTTTAAACTTACAGGACGATCAAATCCATGTTTAATATTGACCAAACATTTAATTCAAATATCCACTTAATTTTTACTTAATTTTTGCGATAGATATGCTTACAGCCTCTTTAATTTCTTCAACAAAAACATTAGGACATCACAACCCTTACCAAAAATTAACCATGGTTTTATCGTAGTAAAACTGCTTAATTTTATTTTGCGTGATTTCTGAATGCTTGAGACTATAAAATCAATCAGACAACGGTATTAATAAAATTATAGTCATAGGTAACTGTCTAGAGCTACAATTGTAATTTATAAATAATACAATTTAATTACAATTTATTTATTTACTTTTATATTTTATTAAAGTTAAATTTTGACCCCTTATAGAAGGTGTTTTGTTTTTGTTTTTTGAGGGAAGGGGCACAACAATACTATTCTGCTTAGGGCATCCATTTGGCCAGCAGCGGCCCTGGTGTAGACCATAGATTTGGGTTTGTTTGAGTAGATTAAAAGCTCTTAATGTCTAGTATTTCTGAAAAGGGTTCACATTATGTGAACTGCAGTGTGGTTTCTTCTGAATGTTACTGCAGTTCAGAATAAATTTCAATTGATTGCATATTTGTGATAAACTGTTTCCTGTGGTGTTCACATTGATGACTAAGAATTCTTCAAATGTATTCAGGTTAGGACGCAAGTGTGAAAACGACATAATGTCATGCTACTCTTTTTATTGCAGTATATATCTAAGAATGTCCCAGCAACGGAGCGAGTAGTACGACATGGAACAGAGACATCAGGCAATTTCTCGGGCAGCCGAATGTCGTCACGATCCCACCATACCTCCACAGCTTCTCATGCTTCCAGTCACCGGTACTGACTCTTCCCTGACTGATTCATCTGTCAATATATCCATATATAGATCCTTGACATATATCATCTGTCCATCTGTCTATTTAGCTGTTCATTTACTAACCCAACTAGCCAATGTTGCTTATATATATATATATATATATATATATATATAGCCTATATACACTGAACAAAATTATAAACGCAACACTTTTGTTTTTGCCCCCATTTTTCATGAGCTGAACTCAAAGATCTAAGACTTTTTCTATGTTCACTCAAATATTGTTCACAAATCTGTCTAAATCTGTGTTAGTGAGCACTTCTCCTTTGCCGAGATAATCCATCCACCTCACAGGTGTGGCATATCAAGATGCTGATTAGACAGCATGATTATTGCACAGGTGT